GCTGTACGCTTCAAGTGCACAAGCGCCAAAGCACCATTGCAGACTGGCAGCAGCAGCTCTCATAAAAGGACTGGGTTTGTAAGTCGCTTCATCTACCTCCGCTGGCTGCATGAGGCATGCTCTGCTTCGCAGGCCACCAGCAGCTGTGCAAAGAAACTTTTCCAAGATCAGGCTCTACGACAAATTGCAAGACAAAGCGTTTGAAATGAAGCCACCGAGTCTGCCGCCGTGGACGCCATCTGAAAAACGACGTCCACTGCAGGCCTGCATGTCACTAGAGGTCACACTGCAAGGCAGAACATGCCAGAGCCATACCTCTGAGCCGGGGCAAGGAATCTCAAAGGCTCATGGAGTTTCAGCTTGCATGAATCCCTGTGATGTTTGTTGATGCATCAGGTGGTAGAGCATGTCAAAAAGTCGAAAGTGTGTTTTCCAAGCAGGCTGCCATACAAGCCTACTTTCAAGAAGCGATGCTCTCAATGCAGTTCTCCTATCATATCAGTTAACAGCAAGGCTGCGAAGCTTGAATGTGGAAATCGCGGCCGAAGCGCGTCGCAACTGCCAACCTTGCAATGATCCAAACTTGTTCACTAGCTCATGATGCAAGGGACTTCCTTTATCTCCCAGCACCTGGTCACACACTGTAGGCAGGAGTACTGTAACTTCCTGACATACTGAGATCGCAAAATGCAAGCAAGCATTTGCAATGTGCTTATAGAAGCCGCCAGCCATGTTGGCACAGACGCGAACTGATCATTGCAAAAGCATTACAGGCACACAAGGCGCCCCTTCGTTTAGCAGCAAAAGCACTCAGCTCTAATCACCCTATCCCGACTCTTTGCTGACTGAAGCTCGTGGTAAACAAAGACTGAAAGTGAGACTGTCAAAGACGTTCATCATGATTTAACCCGGAAGACCCAAAGCCAATCTTCAGACTGAGTGGGGCTACGCGAATTCGGGCTGCGAAATCGCAGCCTCTGCCATAATCCAATAAAACCGCCATAAACTTTTACTCTGCCGTGGTCGCTCAGACTTGTCTGCGTTGGTCGAGCAGGTGCAAGGGCTACGCTCGGTTTCCTAAGTCGTGCACTTTGTTTTGGCTGGAGGTCAGCACTTCATTCTAGAGGAGTGACCTACAAGCTGCCTGCTGGTGTACAGCAGGAGGCCTTGCTACAACAGGGCTTTGTCATGGAAACGTTCTTAAAAGCAATGAGTGTGCATGCACAAGATTTGGTCTGAACGCCCCAGCGTATACACAAGGGAAGCACTGAGTGAAGCTTGAGCAGACGCGTCAAAGAACAGGAGCCTGCGCGCACGCAAGATGTCGTGAAAGTGCTTTGCACAAGCTCTGACAACATGCGATCCTGCTCTGCCCCCGGTTTTCACTTTTTGCAAGCTCAGCTGTGTTTAAAAGCGACGCGCCCTCTCCTCAGGAAGACCGCTCTCTGAGAGTCCCTGGCACCTTGCAGACCAACAATATGTTTGCACCAAAACATCCGTGCACAAACCACAATAGCATCCAATGAATAGAGCATCCGCTCGCAAGTCATAATAACATCCATGTTTGAGTGAGTCCGATCAGCTGAGCACGCATGTCCACACCGTAACAGCATCATGTCAGCAGCTCATGCAGCAGGTCTCCCTCTGAAGCCTTGATCATCACAGCGGGAACTCAGATTATACCTATTAGCTTGCCACCCCCAACAAACAGGCCAAAATCATGAGCAGCCAGCCCTACGAAACACAATGAAAACGAATGACCGAAGGTAAACGTGCGGCTGTGCGTATAAATACTTTAAGGCTCAAACAACATGACCCACCCCAAAACAATGTCGGGGGGTAAAGTCTGTTCTCTATGTTCCCTGGAACCCTTGTAGAAATCATGTCTTCAGCTAGTTCTAAGGATATTAGATAGCAACTCATTTTCAGGGAACTTCCAGTACCGCAGCATTCCCGTTCCACTCAAATCGTTCGGAGGGGGCCCCTACACGTGCAACATCGTGCAACAGAGTGCTCTGTAACCCTTCGCACCGGGCTCTGGGCAGAGTACGAGCGCTATCACCTGGCGCTGCGCTGCCAGCAGTTTATGGTTACTGCGAAGGCAGCAATGGTGAACGTGTTCGGAAGTAGCGAGCTTCACACAAACAAAAGAACCAACTCTGCCGAGATGCCACTCTTTGCAAGAGCCTCGGCTGCCAGCCGCACCTCAGACAAGCTCCAAGATGGCACAGGGAACCACATGATGTCCGAACATAATAACATGCTTTGAAAAGATCCACCAAGCTCCGCGCCTTGTTGCAGCTGGCAGGATGGAGAATCCACAAATAAATCTTAATGTTGAGTGTTTGGCTGCTCTCTCACGTCGCACAAGCAACGGGCGTGGCCTTCTGCCACGCCACAACTTACCCGCTTCTCTAGTTTATTTGCCCAGCTCGCCGCCAGGAATGTCGTGAGGGAGCCACTCAAATCGTTGCACAAATTGTCAAAGCTCACTTTAAAAAAGGTAAGGGACACGATTCATCCCAAAGCGCTGCTGTGCGGTCGGACCTGCGATAATCTTCGAAATGCAACCTTTTTGTTCGCCTACTTGCACGACATCATCTTAAAATGTAAAACGTCTTCAGGGTTGCATCAGTAGGTCCTTTTCAAACCGTGGTGCCTAGCACCCCCGCAAGCTAGCGAAGTTCTATGATGAGCTTTGCCATTAAAGTCGTGGGACTTATTACCCATCGTCCGAATTGCAAGACTACAGAAAAAAACAAAGTTGTCATCAGAGCTCCTGCTCCCCTTCCACGTCCTGCACGACTCATGCAACACGCTTGGAATCTGTGTCCAAGCTTAAGTCGCAGCTCCTGAAGCTGTGGTAGGTCGCCATCACTCCACGAACGCCGCAGAGGCATTTTTTCTACCTCCTGTATCAAGCGCGGCTGCTTCGCAAGGGCCAAACCGAAGGCGGCTTTGCCGGTCCTCGTCAAGGAAGACAGACCTCAGCCAGAGGGATCTTCTGGGCAAGCCATGTTCTGAAATCAGCTTCTACTCACCATTTTTAGGAGCGGGACTCCATGAAGGTGCCCTTGACTCTCAAAACCACCTTGCGCTTCGGTTCGTACCCTGCAGCCGGCACTTCAGCCGGGAAAGACCTGCTTCAGACGCATGAGAACACACTTCCGAGACCCCGCAATTGGCCCTACATGGCCCTACAAAGCATGCCAGGGCCACGCTGTCGGAGGAGCCGTTTGCTGCCGACTTA